GAAAAAAAATTTGAATTTTAAAAGCAACTTAGAGTTATCCTGATTGAAAGTTCCCAAGACATGATTTTGCAGTGTTAGAGTTTTCTCCCCCAGCCCCCCTTTGACTGTCACGATTCGGACAAACCGAATCAAGTTTTGGATCCCCAAAAGTGTAGACGCTAGTGATGGGTCCAGCGACACCGCGTCGACGCATGCGTCTGGCTCACAGAGCAATCCACGTGTCGGTGCGTGTGCTGCTTCATGAGATCACGTGATCAACACGTGAACTGCGTCGGCCACAGTCCAGGCTGCGTGACACAGTCCAGACAAGTCGACTCAGTCAAGGGGGCGTCGACTCAGTTGAGGGGGCGTCGACGCAGCAAAAGCCCGCCACACAGTGTTTATAAGGAAGTGCGTCTGGCGACACATGCCGCCTGCCGAAACAAGCCAGACCTCACCCTTGCTCAAATAAAAATATATATTTGGGCAAAAAGTAAAACACAGATTATCAGAAAAACGTGTCCGTCTGACTTCGAGCGTCGTGTCGGCTGTCATATAATCGGCTATTATATGAGAAGTGCTTTATGAAAGTTTGTACTGTACGTCATACTCCATTTGATTTAAGAGGTCCCGCCTATAAAGGGGAATTCCAGGAAGTGACTGCAAGTGAGCACACTGCATGTTTGACGACTCTGCCACATTGTTATTAAAAGTCACATAAAACGTAAACCTTGTCTGCTGACCATCATTATATCGGCTAGGCTAGCTTAGCTGTTGTCATAGTTCAAAACTTCTTTAATATGTGGCGTGGGTTGCGTCGGCGCCTTGAGTACGTGCTCGCGCTAACAGCAGAGAGCAGCAGACTATCGACTGCTGAGACGCGCTTCACTTGAGTGACGTTGCTACAGTACGTGCATATTACGGAGTAGCTTCCGGACAAATGCAAATTGTCCGCCGTGTAGAGCCATTTTGATCTCCTTTTGGAGAATAAGGTATTTATTCAAATCTGCTTGTCTCACCAAGTGCCTCTCGGATTTTTGACGTCTTATTCCATTGTGTGTGTGTTCTCCACAGCAGGGGAAATAGCATGCAAGAAACGCAACAGACTGAAATTTAAAACACTGGAGCATCTTATTTTTCTAAATAAAAATTTGTGAAGACAAAGCCCACAAGCATCCTCATTCACATGATTTTCACATTATTGAAACACATTGAATGATACAATATGAATGCATGGATGTGAATGATATTGTATACAGTTCATCAAATCAGTCAGTTCAGTCTGTCAAGTGGGTTGGCTGCAGGGATTTTGAAGGTCCAGCAGGTGGCAGTGGTCAGCAACACAGTATCAGCACAGTATCAACACAGAGTGTGTCAGTGTGTCGACACGCCTCATGAGGCCTCATGGACCCATCACTAGTAGACGCCAAACAAGGTCTCCGTAGCAAAAAATGTTTTAATGTACAAAAATCGCACCGACAAAGTCGAACCATAAAGCGCTGGTCAAAACAGGGACCAGAGAGCACAAAAACGAATAACAAAAAGCGTTTGCACAAAAGGCAAGGGGGAAAACAAGAACCGAGAATACAAATGAAAAACAATGTATCAAAATACACACAAGCAAAAGCCGAATCACAAAACAAAAACCATACTTACAAAACCAATGGTACCGAGAGTTCAAAAGCGAAAAATAGTGATGTGCCCGACTGGGCCGAGGCTCCGATGCGTGTGCCGAGTAAACCGGAAGAAAATCTGCGAAGCGCGCTTCGAGGCATGTGTCGATTTCTCTTGTGGCCACGCCCGATGCCTCGGAACGCGCGTTGCTCCGCCCGAAGCTTTGTGAGACGGGATTCCGACATCACCGCCAACAAATAGTTTCGCGGGTGATTCGAAATAAAACGGCGCACCGGGACGACAATGAGCTGACAGGTGACACTGACTAGAGATAAGATCGGGCCGCCCGAGCCCGCGGGTCGGGTCTGGCTTCTCTCTCGCTGACTTTTTTTTTGTTCGTTACGAGGCCGTGAATAGTTTTGGCCACGAGAAGACCGGGGTTCGCCAAAAAAACAGAAGTGGCCTCATCACAACATGTACTGTACGAAACACTCGCAATGACAATTCAAAGAACTCCTTCATGTCTCTATGATCCAGCCGTCATTGTTCTTTGTCTCGCTGCTTATCTTCAAGTGCCGCACTCGATTTTTAAGGACGTACTGCTGCTGTGGTGAATGGCCCAATTTTCAACCCATCAAAATGATGGACAGCCTTAAATTTACCCCGTCCACTCTTAAAAAAAAAATCCGTCAATGATGGAAAATTGTCGGTTAATGTCCCCTCTGCAGAAACAGAAATACATGTTTAAAAGATGTAAATAATTATACAGACTTGTTTAACTTAGATTTCGTGACAAAAGACAGGCTTTAATTTGTTACCACAAATCACCCCTCCTCCTGCCGAGTCATCACAAATGAAATAGGAAATGTCGGGTTTGCTTCGGGCTCGGGCCTGCAAATCAAGATAATTGGTCGGGCTCGGGCCGGGTTGGGGGCCCAGGAACGAACCAATTGGATGTAAAGCCTCATTGCTTCATGAGGCTTCATTTTCCCATCACTAGCGAAAAAACGAAGAGGTCTATAGCAAAAAAGGTCTATGAGCATGGAAGCAGCAAGGCATAAACAATACTTCGACAACCAGCAGATTGAAGATGGGTCCTTAAATACAGAGTCCCTTGATAGATAGATTGGCAGCAGGTGTGCAATCAGAAAGTCTGTTCTGGCTGCCACCTGCTGGCCAGGCCAAAAACAGGAACGTGACATTGACGAGATCCAGTGCGAAAGGTGGTACCATGAGCAGTGTCTTGAGAAGAATTTGCATGAACTGAGAGGCCGAAAACTGGTATTGCTGCTGTGAGTGCACATCAGAATGTTGGAAGTCAAGTAGACCTATATCTAATTTTGTGAGTATTGTTCTGTAAAAATTAAAGTCTAAATAAAAAATTACGTTCATGTCAAACTAACGTTACCTACCCTGGGAAAGATTTTTTTTTTTTTTTAATTTAAACTCAACAATCACTGTATTGCTCTTCACAGATGATACATCAATAAAGTACCATATTTTCCGCATTATAGGGTGCACCAAAAAGTAGTCCATTTTCTTAAAAGCTCACCAAGCACCTTAAAATCCGGTGCGTCTTGTGTATGGTCATTACGGTAATACATCGACTCCAAGATGGCTCCTTCCAGGAGACATGCTTCCAATGTTATAACTTGCTGTTGGTTCAGTGAACTGTGTCGCTGCTTTATTAAATAAGTTTGTGTTGCAGCTCCGAATAAAGGAGAGCTGTGGTGTTAATTTTTTTAAAACGGTCTCAACAAATACAGGTATGTCTTTGTCTCCGTGCCTTCTTCCGTTCGACTCAAGAGGCGTTCAAGACCGCCTCTGAAAAAACGTAAACTAACGATTACTTCAATGAAACTTCAAAAATTGAAAATAATACATCAAAACTGAAAAGCAAGCGAGGATATCACAAAATAAATTCTATAGCCCCCCGTACAGAATTTATATTGTGATTTCATCATTTG